GATCTGATTCTACTTTACAATTAGACCAAATTGTAAAATTAATTCTTACAGATAAAAAAGATTCATCTATGTAATGAATGTGATAAAACTTTTACATGTTCCAATTATCATTGCAGGCATGAAAGAAGTCCTGCTGGAGAGAAACCCTATGAATATCCACAATGGGATAAAGCCTTCACATCTCACAGTCATCTTCCAAAGCATGAAAGAATTCAAACTCGAGAGAAACCCTCTGAAGGCTTTCAACAGAGTGAAGCCCTTGCATGTCATAGTAGTCTCCAAATACATAAAAGAACAGATTCTGGAGAGAAACCCTACAAATGTAATCAGTGTGATAAAGCCTTTTCACAACCCAAGTATCTTCGAATACATGAAAGAACACATACTGGAGAGAAACCCTACAAATGTAATCAGTGTGATAAAGCCTTTGCATATCACTGTACTTTGCATTTGCATAAAAGAACACATACTGGAGAGAAACCTTATGAGTGTAATCAGTGTTGTAAATCCTTTGCACAAAGCGGTTATCTTCAAATACATAAAGTAATACATACTGGAGAGAAACCCTACAGATGTAATCAATGTGATAAAGCTTATTCTCAACCGAGTCATCTCCTAATACATAAAAGAACACATACTGGAGAGAAGCCTTATAAATGTAGTCAGTGTGGAAAATCATTTGTATCTCACAGTCATCTTCAATCTCATGAAAGAATTCATACTGGAGAGAAACCTTACAAGTGTAATCAATGTGATAAAGCTTTTTCACAGCACTCTAGTCTCCAAATGCATAAAAGAACACATACTGGAGAGAAACCTTACAAATGCAATCACTGTGATAAAGCCTTTTCACAAAGCAGTAGTCTCCAAATGCATACAAGAACACATACTGGAGAGAAACCTTATGAATGTAATCAGTGTGGTAAAGCCTTTGCACGTCACAGTAGTCTCCAAACCCATAACAGGCATCATACTGGAGAGAAGCCCTATGAATGTAATCACTGTGGTGAAACCTTTGCATATCACAGTAGTCTCTGGAAACATAAAAAGAATCATCTGGGAGAGGAACCGTATGGAGGTATTTAACATGTAAGGTCTTTGCATATTTGTATAATCTTCATCGTCGTGAAGGTATTCATACTGCAGAGAAACCATATAAATGGAAGAAATGTGGTAAATCTTTTGCACGTCTGTTATCTCTTAATGTAGAAAAGAATATGAGAAATTGTTATAAAAAAAACAGATAATGGAACTGGCAGTTACAGTTGAGCATTTTGAGACTTTTTGTCAGCAAATTAATATTACCCATATTACTGGCATTCCTTATAATTGTCAAGGACAAGGGAGTGTGGAAGGTGCCCATGGAACTTTAAAACAATGTCTTCATAAAATAAAAAGGGGGGAGGTATATCCCCATATACTACAAATTCATTTAATCATGTTCTTTTTATTTTAAATCTTTTAAAAAATTTAGATGCCAAGGAACTTTCTGCTGAGTGTCTATGGCACTCTATAACTAGGTATACTTATGCATAGGTGAAAGGGAAGGATCCACTTACTGGCATATTGCATGATCTCCATCAGGTATTTAATATGGGGAAGAGGGCATGTTTGTGTTTTTTTTTTCTGCAGGATGCTGAAGGAGCATGGTGACTGCCAGAGTCAAGGTTGAGACATGCTAATGCTGGGACAAAAGATGTTGGTGACCTGTGGGCTTTCTGAGTGCCCTGACAATGGTGACTGGGAAGCTGTTTTGGATATATGTTCCCAACCCACCTTTGCTTACCTATACCCCTAATGGGACAAACTCCCTTGCCTCAAGTTTTTAGACCTTGTGGAACAGAGAATCAAAAGGAGAGGTTATAATGACTCTTGTATGTTTATTAAATGTGACCAGTTATTCGGACTCAATCATGGGCTGGTCTAGAAATCAATCCAATATTGGAAATAACAGTCTTCATTTGGAAGGCTGGTTCTGGACATTTTCAGAAACATATTTGGAAATTAGCTGCAGTTCTCTATGATGTTATGTTAGCAAGAGATAAAAGTTGGGATAGGATCTAGATTTCAAATAAGTGTTAGTACATACGTTAAGGTTCTTTTAATTGTCAAGTTAAAATTACTTTTGTTTCTTCTACAATATTTAATGTAAGTTGCATTGAGAAAGTTACACTTTCTAATTGTATTAGTGTGTAGAAACCCGGCATGTCTGTTATAGAGGTCTATCAACTAGCTTTTGTTTTATTGCCCTGAATATCACAGAACCTTGGTATTCTGGAAAAGGCTTGCAAGTACTGGAAGAAGTGAGTCAGGCTTTAAGCAGAAGCAAGAGGGGGTAGTGGGTTTATAACAGCTTTAATTACATTAATTGCTAGCACCACTGCTTCTGCAATTTCTTTGACACAAGAAGTTAAGACAGCTACTTTTATAAATCATATAGTAAAAGTTACTAATGTTGAATATACAAGAGGATTTAGATAGGCATTTGGAACAACAGGTTGATGCTCTTTATCCTATTCAAATTATTGGAAGGAGGTTCAGAGTTTAAGAGTATGGAGCCATCTCGAGTGTCATGCCAAATACCATTGGATTCATGTTAGTTCCAAAATTTACAGGGGCAGTCATTATAATTAGGGAAAAGTTTAAAGACACTTGCAGTGTATTTGGCATAAGTCTAACACCTCTCTGGGTGTTTTAACTTTGTATAGTGAGCTTATGAATTTCAAGAATGCTGCTCTGCTAAGTGTTGATGTGGCAGATACTGCTGATAAAATTACCCATGGCCTGAGGTCAGTATTTCTGTTTTGGTCAAGCTTCAAGAATGGCATATATAGCTTGATCTTGCTAGCCCTTTTTGTCCTGGGAATACTTTTATTCCTGCCCATTGTCTTAAAGCTTGTCTTTAACAACATCAACATGTTGGCATCCAAAGTACATGGCTTGAAACTGAAAATGGACCCCCCAGATAGAGTTTTTATTTAACAGGCTGGCAAGCCACGGATGGGTAAGATTCTGCATAGAGCCTTACCAACCTAAGACATAAATGCATTGCCTTTGTTAATGCATATTCCACGACAGGTAAGGAGGGCATTCTTGTCAGAAAGATCTAAGACAGGCTCAGTCTTGTTATATGAAGCAAAAAAAAAGGGGGAGAAGCGGAGAGATTTGGGGGCTGCTTGGCAAGAATCTGATATGGACCAAGGACAAGGAAATGGGTTCCTTGGCACTAAAACCATCTAGTCCTAGGCTTTATTTTTTGGTGAGGAGACTTTTAATGACTGCTGCTATTTCATTAGGGGTTATGGGACTCTTTAGATGGTTTATCTGATCCTGATTAACTTTGACACCTGGTACCTGTCTAGAAAATGGTCCATTTCATCCAGATTTTCCAGTTTTGTTGAATATAGGCTTTTGTAGTAGGATCTAATGATTTTTTTTTAATTTCCTCAGTTTCTGTTGTTATATCTCCCTTTTCATTTCTGATTTTGTTAATTTGGATACTGTCTCTATGCCCTCTGGTTAGTCTAGCTAAGAGATTATCTATCTTGTTGATTTTCTCAATGAACCAGCTCCTGGTCTTGTTGATTCTTTGTGTAGTTCTTTTTGTTTCTACTTGGTTGATTTCAGCCTTGAGTTTGATTATTTCCTGCCGTCTACTCCTCTTGGGTGTATTAGCTTCTTTTTGGTTTTGAGCTTTCAGGTGTGCTGTAAAGTTGTTAGTGTATACTCTCTCCAGTTTCTTTTTGGAGGCACTTAGAGCTATGAATTTTCTTCTTAGAACTGCTTTTATTGTGTTCCATAAGTTTAGGTATGTTGTGCCTTCAATTCTAAAAGGTCTTTAATTTCTTTATTTCGTCTTTGACCAGTTATCATTGAGTAGGGCGTTGTTCAGCTTCCACGTGTATGTGGGCTTTCTGTTTTTGTTGCTATTGAAGACCAGACTTAGTCCATAGTGATCTGATAGGATTCATGTGATTATTTCAGTCTTCTTGTTATCTGTTGAGGTCTGTTTTGTGACCAATTATATGGTCAGTTTTCGAGAAGATACCATGAGTACTGAGTTGAGAAGAAGGTATATTCTTTTGTTTTAGGATGAATCAGTGTAGTCTTTATACAAGAGTAAAACCTTTAGTGTGTAATCAGTCTGTTACAACCTTTACATCTCATGGTAATGCTTGAGGACTTGAAAGAACTCATAATGAAGGGGATTTGGTAAGATCCTTAGCCAATACACATTCTGTTACATAAGATTATCCTGACATGTTTGCTCCTGCAAACTCATCTGGACAAAAGCTAATAACCCTTTTAGATTTCATACTTTAATTACATAAAAAACTCATCTGGGTATAAAACTTTATAAGTATGTATTAGTGCCTTTTCTATTGCTGTGATAAAACAGAATGTCTGAGGCAACTTATGAAGCAGTTTAATTTGGCTTATGGTTCACACCATCAAAGTATCATTACATGTTTCAGACATGGCAGTTAAAGGGGGAAGCTCAGAGCTCACATCTTCAACCTACAACATGTAACAAGAAGTAGGAACTAGAAATGGCATGTAGATGTAAACTCTTCAAGCCTATCCCCAGTGAAGTATTTCCTCCACCAGGGCAGCATTTGTTAAATCTTCCTAAATGATATGATCAACTTAGAAGAACGGATTTCTCTGACTGCAAACATACTTTCTTGTTTCTGTTACATGAATCAAACCATAAGAAAAAAACTGAAGGTAAGCCTTTAGATGCCTTAACACTGTTGTTACAGGAATGAATGCTTGCACAAGAAAAACATTCATGAGTGAAAATGTATTTGTTTAACAATTTCTTTCCATTTTAATTATGTGATGTCAGTGTATCTTTAGCTTTCACATGCTGGTTAGATGTTAGTCCTTGGATCTCCTTGGAGCTGGAATTTCAGGACTTCATCAAAAACCTGACCTGGTCCTGGAAATGAACTTGTATTAAATGTTTGGCCATGGCTCTAGCCCTGTAAATATTTTAAAGGCTTTATTGTCTTGACATCAGGTAATAAATAAACTCATACAAGAGAAAAATCCTATTCATGTAAATAATATGTTAAAGATTTAGACATCCCATTCAATCACCAGAAGAATTAGTGCTGCACCTCTTTTTCATAATAGCCTTGAAGCAAGTAAATAGTTCACCATGTTTACACAAGTCTGATGGTTCATATCTCCACATGTGGCTTATATTTTGACAATTTTGAAGTTGATGTTGAAGTGTGCTGTGTGTGTGACAAATCCCTTTACTAAAGTTTATTTGGTAGCTCTTATATTCCTTCTGTGGCTACTGGATTTTTGTTTTTGTTTTTGTTTTTCGAGACAGGGTTTCTCTGTGTATCCCTGGCTGTCCTGGAACTCACTCTGTAGACTACAACCGCCCAGCTCTTTTTTTTGCTTTTTTTTTTTTTGGATGTGGCTACTGTTGTCTTCTATCATGCGACTGTTGTCTTCTATGATTCTATCATGCTTTTACTTGGTAGCAGTTATCTTCCTGCTTCAATGTATAATGTAGTGTGTATCAACTAAGTGACCCATTGTGTATTTAAATACTGTGCAGCATGTAATCATACTTTTCAAGTAAGGATGTCTGTGATTGGTTGGGGGAAGGGGTCTTGTGGTTTTGTTTGTCATATTCACAAACAAATTACTTTGAGGTGTTGTTTGCTATCCAGCCTGGCTTGGATGTCAGTAATTATTTAGGGCTACATAGAACTCTTGATTATCATGTGTCAACCTCCTGAGTACAAGTCCAAAAATAGAAGATTTACCCCAATGGATCTTGTTTTATTAATACAGTTTAACAACATTAATATTGAAATGTTTAGCCGGGCGGTGGTGGCGCATGCCTTTAATCCCAGCACTTGGGAGGCAGAGGCAGGTGGATTTCTGAGTTCGAGGCCAGCCTGGTCTACAGAGTGAGTTCCAGGATAGCCAGGGCTATACAGAGAAACCCTGTCTCGAAAACCAAAAAAAAAAAAAAAGAAAGAAAAAGAAATGCTTAACAAGTCCAATCACAACCACAATGAGGTGGCCAGTTGCTCTGAATGAAGCACCTTATCTATGACACAAAGTAACAAAAACTGAAAGGTCTTATAAAATTATGGTACTAATACAAACTAGCACAGCTAATCTGAATTACAGTAAGATGCATCCTCAAGAAATTAAACATTGAACTACTGTATGATCGTGCTATTACACTGTTGGCTTAGTAGCCAAGGAAATTACTATGCAGAGACATCCTGCAGCTCTCTGTGCATTACATTGTTCATGAAAGCTAACATGTAATCAAGGTGTCCATCTACAGAGAACAGTGAAAAACATGTGGGAAATAGACTAAGTGAAGTTCTAAGTGAGCTGAAGTTCCTACACTTGCATGGACACATTTGGAGAGGGCACTGTGTGGAGGTATAGTGTTGTTATATCCTCTGGCCCTTTGTTCTTTATCTTATTAGGTATACATGTCTGTAGACTTGATTAGTGAACTAAGTGGTGAAGGAGCATATCAGGCTGTGTTTCAGATGCTAAAAGAAAGCATCTCAGGCTTGCTCCACTCCTCAAATTGTGGGTGGTGGGCTTGTATGTAGTCATTGTTGTAAAGGTACAGGCTTGCATCTGTTTTACTGTTTTGTTTTTGAAGATAGGATGTTCAATTAATACAGAATGCCATTTATTTTTCTAGCTTTGTGTTCATATGGCTGTTTATTGTTCAGTATATGGAAAGAAGGGTTTAAACTGGTACATTGCCCAGTAGTAAACATTGCATCCATTTGATGAGGCAGGTGGGGTCATAGTTTCTAACTATTTTATATGCTGTTCTTCCTTTCTTTTCTCTTCTTTTCCTTTATTTCTTTTCTGTTCTTTTTTTTTTTTTTTGAGTGTTTTATACCCATGATCATTGGGGATTATGTTGTGAGACTTTTCCTGGGAGGACATGACACACATGAGTACAATCATGTTGTGAGACTTTTCCTGGGAGGACATGACACACATGAGTACAATCATGTTGTGAGACTTTTCCTGGAGGACATGACACACATGAGTACATAGCCTAGACTGGAAACCCAGACAGAGCACAGTAACAATTATACTAGAATCCAGCTTGGTGAACCAGGAACACAGATGGAACAGACTGAAGGAATGGAAGACCAGTGATTGGTCAATTTTGAGACCCATCCCATGGGCAGGCTCCAATCTCCCACACTATTAATGATGAAGTGTTGTGCTTTGCATACAGGAGACTATCATGGCAGCCCTCTGAGAGGCTCTACCCTGCAGATGACGGAGACAAATGCAGATAACCACAGACAAACATTGGACTGAGGTCAGGACCCCAATGGAAGAGTTAGGGGAAAGACTGAAGGCCCTCAAGGAGGTGGCAACCCCACAGAAAGACCAGCAATGTCAACTAACCTGGAGCCCTGGGTGCTCCCAGACACTGAGCCACCAACCATAGAGCATACATAGGCTTGTCTAAGATTCCCCAGTACATATGTAGCTGAGGGCTGCCATGTCTGGCCTCAGTGTGAGAGGATGCACCTAATCCTGCAGATACTTGATGCTCTAGGGTGGGGCAACATGGCGGGGATGGCTGTCCTCTCAGAGGCAAAGGGGAGGGGGAAGAAGAGGAACATTGCACAGGGGGGACTGGAGGGGACATTATTTTGGATATAAATAAGTAATTTATGAAAGAGAGAGGAGCGGGGGAGAGAGAGAACAAGCAAGCCAGCCCGAGGGCAATGAAGACAAAAGAGATGTGACCCATACCTCACCCTTCATGACCCAGGCATGAGCAGAACAAAGTCACAATCTTGTTGTTTTTGTTTGTTTGTTCGTCAGTCTTGTTTTTTTTTGTTTGTTTTTCAAGACAGGGTTTCTCTGTATAGCCCGGACTGTCCTGGAACTCACTCTGTAGACCAGGCTGGCCTCGAACTCAGAAATCCACCTGCCTCTGCCTCCCAAGTGCTGGGATTAAAGGCGTGCGCCACCACCGCCCCAAAGTCACAATCTTAAAGTAAACACAGAATCCAAAAATCCTTTTATCTTCAGACTGATAGTCATGACCAGAAGAAAAACCTATGGGTTTTTTTGTAAGGGGGCAGGTACAGCAGGGTGTCACATAGCTGAGGCTAGCATCAAACTCATCAAGCTAACTAAGGGTAATTGGATTATAGGTGTGTTCTATCATACCAGGTTTTATGTGTGCTGGGGATCAAGCCCAGGATTCTGTGTGTGTTTGGCAGGCACTATAACTAAGATACAACAGAAACATATTTTTTTTTTCAATGTTAAATTGTGTAAAGTGATTTTGGTCTGGTACAGCAACTTTAAAAAAAAAAACAAATTGATTGCATTTACATGCGTGCCCTCTGGAAGTGGTCAAGAGTCCTAAACACACTAACAGCTTTTTGTATAGGAGATGGTTACAGGGCAGCCATGGAAATGAACAGGGAGCTCAAAGTATGGAGATTCTCTACAAGGACAGAACATATAGAATGAAATCATGTATTTAAAACAGGATTTATTCTACTGGCTTATAGTCTGGATAGTCCAAGTATTTGCTGTGCCACTGAGAATCTGAAAATTGCCCAGTCTGCAAGCCTGGATGGATGTCTTAGCAGTTCCAACCTGGTACTGAAGGCCTGGAGGATTTCAAGAGAGCTGCTAGTATTCAGTCAATGTTGGAAACACAAAGAAGTTGTTTCTAAAAATCAATGAAAGAATACAACACCCCCAGGGTAGATGAATACTTCACAAGAGTGAAGACAAGGATTTTTCAGAAAGCAAAAGCTTTCCATGTTCTTCATATGAGCTTCCACCAAAAGAGTATATTGACTACATTTAGGGTGGGTCTTCCCATTGTAATCAGAAAGTTCCCTTTGAGAGTGCTCAGTGACTTGCATGTTAGTTGACACAAAGTCCAGGTCAACCAAGAAGCTATCACACAAGAGGGTTTGGTGATTGCGCCTTCTTGATAAGGAGTGAGCACCATTAATTGTGGGTCAGAGGCGAGAGCAATAAAGCTGAGGCCAGGAGAAGCACATTACTAGGCCTCCAGACCATCCTTCTATATTTATATGGCTAGCTGCATACAGCTCTGTATGGAGCTCTGTGTTCACATCTAACAGGTCTGTGGATTTTCACAGTCTGGTCCACTATTTGGGTTTTGAAAGCACAGAGGCCCACGAGCAGGAGCCCCTATGTCTCTTCTACAACCAGACACTCAAAGTGTCTGGGTTGGACTTCTGCCTTCCCTCAGTGTACAAAATATGTGGCCTCTGGATATCACAAATTGTGAAGCTTGAAATCAGTGTTGGTTCTTTATATACACACAGACAAGTTTCTTAAGTGAATACTGTTCTGATAGTCATAGTTTTGATTGTGATTTTCTATAGTCAGCCAGTATGAAGCAGAAAATGGCAAGACCATAGTAATTACATCAGATTCTAACTGCAACCAATAGTCTACAGTCCCTTCCAACGTTACCATTATTACAAGGACAGATAAAATATTTTTCCAATTTGCCGTTTCTATTCTTTTTTCACTTTTGCTATATTGTTAGTGCCTTTATGTTATTTCATTTTTCTAAGTATTTTCTGCGTGTATTTTTGTTCTTTATATGCTTAGTTCTGTTTTTATTTTGTAGTCATATTACCTTATCTCTACTCTTCCTCTTTTCATACATCATACTTTCCTTGTTACTTTTTAATTTTGTATGGAGTTGTGGGGGCCGGAGCAGGTGACAGCGCATTGTGAGACCAGAGCACAACTTCATGGAATGATTTCTCTCCTTCCACCTTTATATGAGTGACAGGGATCAAACTCAGATCATCAGCCTTGCAAGATAAGAGCCTTTACCTGTGTTGTCATCTCTGTGGCCCACTTCTTGTTTCTATTTTCCTTTTACTTAAACCTTCCTTTTGCCATGTTGTAGGCTTAGATTTTTCAAAACCTACTTTAATTGGGTTTTTTTCTTTTGTTTTGTTTTGTTTTAAATGCTTTAACCTTCCTTTTAGCCCACCTACCAGAGGTAGGGGGAAGAAAGGTTAGTAAAAAAAAAAAATGAGGGTTGTGGATCTGTTTAGAAGTAGTTCTTTGGGGCGATTCCCATTTTTTTTGTCAGGATACCAGCAGTCCAGTCCAATCAGCAAACACCAAACATGAATCAGTAGCAGCAGCTCAATCCAACAGAAACTGTGAGGCTCCACCTAATCAGCACGGTCAGCAGAAGCAGCTGAATACCACAAACAGTTCTTAGGATGTTTCTCTCTAAGAAGTCATGACAAGCAAAGATCAGCAAAGGCCAGTGAAGCATTGCAAGGTGAACCAGTGTAAGAACATCATTCACTGTCTGTTGGGTTATACATATACTCTTTCCAAAAGTCAAGCATCCTCTCAAGTGTCTGCCTTAGCAAAACATCCTCTCATAAGATAGCTTCCAGAAAAACAACACGTGACATAAAATGAATCTCCAAAGGAACTAGAAATCTCCAGTTCACCATATCTCCTGCCACATGTTATTACATGTTTTTCTTTTATTTCTTTTATATCTATTAAGCTTACCTGTAAAATTTGTTCTCTATTTACATATTTTTTTCTATGGCTACTCATTGTATATCAGTTATTTTCATGTTGTGTTGAATATGTTTGAGTTTGGTATTTTGTTTTTAATTTTTATTATTATGCTTGTGTGGAATGCTGTTGTGCCAGTTTGATTGCTCCTAATAGTGCTGTATATTGAGGCTACAGATGAAAGCTGCTGACCAAAAAGACCCTGTACATAAACTGGGATGCACCATTCTTCCCCATGCTAGCAAGAAAGACAATCTGGAAACCCAATAGTTATGATCCCCCCAAAAGCAGTCAAAAGGTGATTACTTCTAAAATACTCCAAAATATCATAACTCCAATCATTGAATCAAAAAACATGAATGCCAGTGAAATGTCAGGTATGAAGTGTGAAATTCTAGGGTTTTTTTTTTCCTTTTTATGTTGTTTGCTTCCTTGTTTTGAGATTGGTTCTCATATATTTCTTGTTGCCCAAGAACTCACTGTGCAGAGCAAGCTGATTATGAATTCATAGAGATCTACCTGCCTCTGCCTCTCAGGCATCCACACAGCAGCTCTTTACCTCCAATTCAAGGGGATCTGTGCCTTCTGGCCTCTACAGGTACTGCAGACACCTTTTGCACTTTCATTCATGCACACATATATTTTCTTAAAAGCGTAAAAGTTGGTACAAGAAATTGAAGATACTAGAATAAAACAGCTCACATGTGAGAGGGTGAGTACAATTAATATTGTCAATATCTATTGTGGTTTGAAAGTACTGGTTTTTTTGCTAGTTTGGTTGGGTTTTTTTGTTGTTTTGTTTTTGTTTTGTTTGTTTGTTTGTTTGTTTTGGTTTTTCGAGACAGGGTTTCTCTGTATAGCCCTGGCTGTCCTGGAACTCACTCTGTAGACCAGGCTGGCCTCGAACTCAGACATCCACCTGCCTTTGCCTCCCAAGTGACTAGTTGGGTTTTTTTGTTGCTGAAATTGTTTGTTTGTTTGTTTGTTTAGACTGGGTCTCATTATGTGGCTCTGTCTGGCCTGGAACGTGATATGTAGACCAGGCTGTCTAGAAAATCAGACATTTGCTACCTTATACCCTTCTAAGGTGCAAGGACTAAAGACATACACAACGATACCTGGCCCCAAATATCTTAATGAGTATTATCTGCATATTCAATGTGGTCCCCCCAGGAAATTCGAACATTCTGGCTAAAGAAATACTGTGTAAAAAAGTAATAATGGCAATATTTCAACACCTGGTACACAGAATATTATTAACAAAGATATCAAGCCCTTAAGCAAAATAATAACACAAATCCATTGAGTCTAACATAGAATGCTACCAAAGAATATTCTTTCTTTCTTTCTTTCTTTCTTTTTTTTTTGGTTTTTCCGAGACAGGGTTTCTCTGTATAGCCCTGGCTGTCCTGGAACTCACTCTGTAGACCAGGCTGGCCTCGAACTCAGAAATCCGCCTGCCACTGCCTCCCAAGTGCAGGGATTAAAGGCGTGCGCCACCACCGCCCGCCCCAAAGTGTATTCAAACAACCACTGCCATCTCTTTTTCAACAGTATTAGCAAGAACCCAGCTTTAAAAGATACGTCCCTTGAAAATTCTTTTCTACACACACATAAGACTGAAACTAGATGACTATTTCCTATACAAAAGCCAAAGAACAAAGACCTTAACACAAACATGAACTGGTAAAAGTCTTGGAGAAATGAACGGAGATAACTAAAGATAAAACTGTGGGCAGTGACTTCTAGAA